TCATCGAACTTTGAAAATTTCGTGGAAAAAGTTTAGATTTGGTTCTGCTCCGCTAATTTTGGCAAAAATTACGGGATTTTGATTTTGAAAACTTCGTAAAAATAACAGTTATACGGACTTTTTTTCTAAACGCCTGCACATATTGAGCTGATTTTTAGTATTTGATGTCTTGTCAGCAGATATAACCACAAATCAACTCTAGACACAGTTTTTCAGTACGTTTAACTGTTGGTTATTATTAAACACATGTTACAAAAATTTAATTTATGTTTTCCATTAACGGGAGGTACCACACGTTGTTAAACTTGACCCAACTACGTCAATATCATAACAGTTCTTTCATAATCTAATATTTAGAAATAATTTATTTGTGTACAATAAAATACACTGGACTTTCAAAGTAATAATGCCTTTTGAAGTTTTCGAATTTATAGGAGTGATACACTCAGTGGCTATAATTTATTATGATCGATACGTTAAGAAGGTTTATCCCCGGCTTAGTATATTTCTAGGATTTTGATTGGATAACGCACGTCGTTACAAAACCCATAGCCCCTGGGCGTTTCTAACCCATATACCCGGACGTTGCTATCCATTACCCCGGGGGACGTCACGCGCGTTTTCCTTAGTTTCATTGTTGTTCTTTGTGAAATATAGAATTCTGTAGATTATTCATGATGTTTGTAATTAAATATGTAATCCACTAACGATGTTATCTTATTTTGTCGATCATTTGCACTCATTTTAGTAAATGCATCACTTGGCTGCCACACTGTCTATGAATGGGACTACTGACCTAGCCATGCAAATGACCCACGTTAACGTCATACCGTCTATGATGTAACTCTCACAACATTGAGCGCCAAATTCGACCCACTCCAGTTTCTCTGTCTCCGTATTAAAAACTTCTTATATTTGAATACCTGTAGGGTTCTACCAAAGGTAGTACCCTACACCCCGTAAAAGATACGTCAAATTCCCAAATGTCAATAAAAGATTTTTAGAAAATGAAACAAACGTTGCTTTCACGTTACACTTTGTGGTCGAATTTCTCTAAAAATCGACAGATTTGGACTAAGACCGGGGATAAATTCGTTATCAACGTTCATTTCCGTAGATATGGATATTTTAACACCCTTCAGTACCCTGTACACTCTTCGGCTTCGCCTCAGGGTGTACTTTGATACTTCAGGGTGTTAAAATATCCATATCTACGGATATGAACGTAGATAACTTATAGTATTATCTTCGATTAAAATTTCTGTTGAGGTTTGAAATATGTTTTCCTGACCATTGAATTTATCATAAAAGACTGACGGATTATGTGGTTTTGACTTTCTGTAATCTTGGAACGTTCTCATAAATTGCATGATTTTAGTACAATATTGCATGGAGGATCTTTCAAATTATATTTTTTATAGAAATGTCTTAAACTCCCAAAGTACAAAGATAATTGTCAATTTCAATATACAGCAACAAACGACAACCACTGAATTACAGGCTCCTGACATGCATGCATAGCAGGAGATGCCTACCCTGTCGACGCACTGGTCTCGCTCCTTTCGAGATTCTTGCAATTCCTTCATTTTTTGATTGTTTCCTTGGTTTGTCTCTTTAAAATCGATTTACGAGATCTGAACATCGGTAAACTTTTAGCAATGTCGCCTTAATTATGAACTAGTATTCCACTGCGACTACTCTGAGATTGGTACTTTGTGTCATTTGCCTTTTTTGTAAATGTTTTACGTGACGAATCTGTTGAGTCGAGTACTTTCCAAATTGTTTTTACAGTTTGTTATGTGGTGTTACATATTTGGGGAGGGTTGAGAGCTTTCAAACACATCTAACCCCGCTACATTATTTGTGTGCTTGTGTTCGGTGTGAGCCAATGCTCCGTGTTGAAGGCCGTACCTTGACCTATAATGGTTTACTTTTATAAATTGTTATTTGGATGGAGAGTTGTCTCATTGGCACTCATACCACATCTTCCTATATCTATTGTCCCAAGTCATGAGCCTGTACGTCAGTAGTTATCGTTGATTATTGTCCGTCATATTTGTTAAACATTTTGTTTATTTCCTAATCATAAACCAGTTATCGATTGAATTGGTTTACATTTTGTCATGTCGGGGCCCTTTAATGCGTACTCTACGGTTTCTGTTTTCCTAAATGTTTAAATAATTCAACAGATTTAACACAGTTAATGTATTGTAAAATAAGATGGACAGAAGAGGAATGGCACGCAATGGATAATATTCGTTTCTACCCGCTTGGATACCATATGTGACATAAATTCAGTCAGATTTGCATTGGAAAACAAACTGCGGATATTGTTGCTGAATGTAGGTGAAACCGATACTATATTTTATACGATGGAATTACGACTCGCAAATAAAAGGGGTTTGTTAGTAATAAGATATTTGGTTTCATTGTATTACTGCGAGCCCACCTTAAAAAAATCCAGTATCAGGAGTTTCAGTAAATGATATACGAAAGATACCAAAGGGATATTCAAACTCATAAAGTGAAAACAAATTGACAATGCCATTACACAAAACTGAAAAAGACGAAAAGACAAACAACAGTACACACAAAACACAACATGGAAAAGTAAAGACTGAGCAAAACGAAGCTTACCAAAAACCGGAGCTAATCTCAGTTACATTGGAAGGGTAAGCAGATCCTGCGTCAATGCACGTTTTAATCTTTATTCAATATCGCGTAAATCCCTTTAGAATTATTTCCATGGGTGAACACGTTTTGAGAAAGTGCCTTTTGAAATTGCCAAAGGGCGAAACGTCTGGATGAATGAAGATGATGAATAGAAAATACTCTCCATTCCTGACAAAAATATTGGAGAGTTTGAACAAAAGATTTACGTCACAGGTGTATTCAAATGAAGATTATTTCCGGAACCTGTGATTTTTCAGCATATCTTATAAAGGTGTTTTTCGAAGCCTGTGACATTTTAGCAAACTGGATGATGGTTTTTGTAGAAACATATTGCACACAGTGAAACTAGTCTCATACGTTTATCAACTTTATGTGGTCGTTATTTCTTTTGTTGACTCTGTCCCAGATAGATCCACTGTAACCAGCAGAGAGGTACAAAATACTAAGATTGTATTTTTCATCGACCGACGATTAATTAATTTTGCTTTGGATTTTCTATTTAAGTGCTTTCGTTTTCAAAGTTTTCAAACGTAATGAATTGAGATTGTATACCTATTTTAAACTTTCCTGATTGCATGTTTCAAGAAACCAAGAAATATTTTTGGTGGCAGGTTGCATTAAAGTCAGTAACATGGATTTAGTGTTTCATATGTTATATTGAATCAACTTAATGCATACAAATGTATATCAATATAGAAAACAATCTGTGTTTCTATTCATATATCTGGGTTTGTTTGTTGCCTTTCCATCTTATTCACAATCTATATGTTAGCAAACATTGTCGGCACTCCTAATTTTTTTGTTTGATAAATTTAAGTAAGAGTTCACAATATTAGTTTTCTATATGAAGGAATCAATAAAAAGATATTATGTAGACTCATAGTCAAATCTGAGAAAATATGGTCCAAGAAAACGGATATCTGTAACAACTGCCTTAAGAATACTGAAATAGGTATGGTTGCCCTTATCCAGAAAGATTTATTACAAGGCTATTTATGACCTTTTGACAGTTATACTTCTGAAACTATTTAAAAAGAAAACTATAATGAACTTTCTGATCGTTGAATGACTATTCAATAAAGTTGATTTAAAATATATTACTAATATAGACAATCTGAAATTGTTTACTATCTTCCTTGTCCTTTAAAAAGAATCGTTTTGAAACGATTGTATGAAATATGTTATCGCAGACGCGTTTTTGTTATTAATAGTATCCTTGGTATCTTTAATATGGACAAGGATACATATCCGATACACTTTAATTAGATGAGTCTGATCTTTTCTGCGTAGATCTGTGCACTGAATAATTATAATGGTGATGATGAATAGCTGTCCGCTTGAAAACAGGATGAAGGTACTATTGGGGAGAGAATTGAATTCAAGCCTATAAAAGATTATACATGTTAAATAATAAATATAATCAGGAAAGATCCTTTGAGAAATCTGAAAATCTTGTTACAACTAAGCAAAGCAAATGTAAGATCATTTTGTATAAAACAATAGAAGTCCTAAACATATATCTCCAAGTTATTACGATATTCCAGAGCTTGTATTTCCTATCATCATTTCCTTGAAAGAGGGTTGCTGATTGTATGAAGCTATCAAACCAAGAGTTCCCAGTTGTGAAGTCGAAATCTTTCCTTCGAAAATTTTACGAACACCATCACGAGTTAGTTGACCGATATGGAGTATCGGTTTCACAGGTGACGACGCCTATGTTCCAATTGTCGTAGCCACAATCGCATCCTCTATTCCTCGAATGTAACTTACGGAATTACTTATCACCGGGTTTGTACCTACATGAGCAAAGCAACAGGTGGCACATGTGGAGCAGGATATGCTTACCCTGTCAGAGCACCTGAGATCACATTCGGATTTTGATGGGGTTCGAGTTGCCCAGTCTTTAGTTTTTCTATGTTGTGTTTTGCATACTGTTGTTTATTGTTTTAATTTTTTTTTCTTTGTTTATGCCATGGTATTCTCAGATTATTTTCGACTTATGATTTTGAATATCCCTTTGGTATCTTTCTCCTCTCTATCAAAAAATATAAAAGCAAGTGTTCAAATGTAGATGGATATCAAATTAAAGGTAGGAGGTGATCTCAAGAGTGGGAAAAACATCTGAAAGATCCTTAGCATAGTACTTTTCTGTCTTTGAAACGAATTTTATTATCTGTCAAGGATGTCTATTTCACTGATTTACTGTGAACTTGATGACATATGTCCTTAATGTAAACGTATCGTAATTGAATATACTACTAGAATATCAAACTGCTGTTCATTTCTCTACCGCTATTTGATCGTTATACAATAACAATAACTTAGCATTTTAGAAATTGACTTTTTTTGAACATCTTTGTAATGATATCATTCTACAGAAACAGAACACATGGATTTAGCCAAATGTAATTGTTGTTGATCTTTGTTAACCAAACATAGTCTATTTGCATTAAAAGTTTATGATATGCACAAAAAGAAGTCTAGCGATGAAATAAGCAACTCTCATTATTTTTCTTTATTAATAGTTTTCAATCGGACTGGAAAATATCACGAGGGAAACCATGTTAAAATGAAAAATACGAAAATATAAACAAATTTGTACACAGAAAACTAAGGATTTCGGACACAATCCGCGTTAAAAAATGGAGAAAAGGGACAGAGCTCCGATATATTGGTATGTAGTTTTCTTCCAAAATAAAGATAAATGTTTTTCGATGAATTATTATTACGTTTTCGTTGTTCTTTAACAAATTCCCTTGACAATATGAATTTTTTCTTTGGTCTGACTGATAAGGTTGAGGTATAGCTTACATTCTAAATTAAGATATTTGAAGGTCACAAGTGCCTGTATAAAAAGCAGATGCGGTATGGTTGTCAATGAGACAACTATCCACCAGAGACTAAATAACGAAGATGGTAGCTTGATCAAGGTACGACTTTCAACAGTGTGCAAAACTCATGCTGTGCTCACTTTTTTAAATCATTAAATATTTTGAAAAAAAACTTGTTTACATGTTAACATTTGGCAAACTTGTGTTCTTGAGTTACAGCATGATTTATTTGCGCATGCTCCACATCTCTTATATACTTTTATTTGACTTAGGTTACAACTGTATTTGAATTATAGAATTGTCAAAATCCATTCTGATAAAGAGTTATCAAAGGAAACGTTTGTGATATTTATATGTGTCCAGTAAACAGAATAACTGTTCAGATATTTCAACAAATTTCCACCACTTCAAAACTTTCCACTAAGTTTCCGCCTGTAAGAGCCAAGTAAAGAGTTGTTTGTTGAGATAACTCGTGTTGATACATCATACCATTTATCAGTTGGTATTTTTGTGGTAAGATCGGGATCACGTGTTGGTTTGTTCCCCACATATCAGAATATCCAAAAGGAATACACGGTTTGATTGTCAATACTAATTTCTCATTTTCTGAAATAACTTTGTCAATTGGAAGTTTGCAAGCTCTGCCTTCAAAAGTTACATTCAATGTGCCTTCATCAGTTTCAGTACCGCTACTTTCAACTTCGCGGAAGTCAAACATATTGGATCTTCTAGGAAGAATGTTTTGCACACTGGTAACAGTTTTAATATCAACTTTAAAATTGCAGTTATTCTGGCCTGGTTGCTGGAATTGTGGTTTGAGGGTAACTGATTTAATCTTGATTCTTTTGTTTGCTTTCACAGATAAATTTTCAGGTTGTAAATTAGTCAAATACTCAGAAAACATGATGTCATTGATATCACCTGACCGGTTATTACCTGGATACACTATATCGTTAACTAACACCTCCACAACCCTACCTCCTTTTCTCGGACTTACACTAAATTTTCCGCATGCTGATGGATTATTCGGAATTGTAATAGCTTTAAAAATCTGTAGCTGCTCTTCGTCTGTCAAAATACTACTTGGTATGACAACTGACGTGTATTCCTCAAGGGAAAGTAGAGGGATTGCCATAGTATATAGAATACCATCTTTAAGAAGAACGGCTCGTCTTGATTTCCCGTCGATTTTGTTTTTGGACTTGGTCAGTTTATGATCCACCCACTTAAGAACTGCACGTACTATATCTACTTCTTGTACACAAAGGGAATCAAGCTGAAGAATATCAACTAAGTCTTCTGATAGGAGCAAAAGAAAATCGTCATGTTTTAACACATCGATCGCATCATCTGCTATGAATTTGAGTGCATTAGTTCTAAGTTTAGCCATTGTGAAAAATTTTGCATGACTGAAAAGTGTACATGCATTATCAACAGCTAATTTATCTTGTAGATAATTCTCACATTTTGAGATTAATCCTGCAATCTGATACTTCTGAGCGGTATACAATAAAGGAATAACGCAATTTTTGCTAAGCTGAAGATGATCGGTATATAGATATCTGAAACATTTAAAAAAGTCAATTTAACTATACTGAATGTATAGAATAAAAGAATTTACAACTACTGCCCCCTTCACATACATGGATTTTTCAAACGAGTCATTACGGATCTACTCACAAATTCACGGATCCTTACGACTTTTACGACCGATTTTTAGAGATGTTACGATCTATTTACGGTTATTACGGATTATTACGAGTTATAACGATGTCTTTACGGAAAAGTTCACGATTTGTTACGAATTGTCACGGATAGCTACGAGCAACTTTATGGGCATTTTACTAATAGTTACGAGTATTTACGAGTCCATACCATTTTGCAGCTAATATACCTTTCCGCAAATCGTTAAAAATACGTAACGTAAACATATGTATTCATAAAGTACTCGTAACTACACGTGAATTTCTCGTAATAACTCATTACAATCCGTAAAGCCAACATAGCACGACCAGAATAAAATCGTAAGCAACACGTAAGCACTCGCAATTACGCGTAAATAATCCGTAAACAAATCGTAAAAAAATTGTTAAGAGTAATATAATGCGCGCATTTTATGGATTGTTGCGTGTTATTTACGGATGCTTGCCATTGACTACGAGCTGGTCCGTGAGGACTCGTAAGAAAACTCTGTGTATGTGAAGGGAGCATAAGCTATGAACAAGAAAGCTATTTCTATTACTTTGTATCAGTCGTTGGTGTTAGTTCTACCGGGCGTTTCTGAAACAACAATCAACCAATTAGTTGACTGTTTTACAATAGTTTATTTGCAGAACCTTCGACAAGTGATACCAAATTAGGAAAGGATGTAGAAAGCAGATATTATCGGGTCTTCAAGAGGTCTGATGTTAATCTTCTTAATAGTAGTTACGTTAACAAAACCCGAATATTTCAAAAGAGCCTGTGTCACTCACCTGCATCTTCAACATTGGCCCCTTTTTGGTAATAATCACCATGAAAATATAATAACTCTATAGAGAGTTAACAAACAGACAAATTCAGTCATGTTGACATATTTGTAGATCTTGTCCTGCTGATCATATTTGCTTTTAAAAGTTTCTATCTACATTTGTATCTATCAAACATTTCAAGCTGATAGTCAAAAACTAAAAAAACATGATAAAAATCCTCTTTTAAACATGTTAAACGGCAAAAACTACACTAACGACTTAGGATTTATGCCATGATGGCTTCTTGGTAGATTTTGTCTGATCATTTTTACTATTTAAAGTTCCTATACATCTCTTTTAATTTTCAAGATATTAGACAAAAATGCAAAACAATTGGTAAAAATCGACATTAAAGAACAAAAACTCGAGTAACGAGTCCTCTGACGATTTTAGCCATTTCCCTTGTTTGTAGATCATTTGTTGCTGATAATTTTGGTAAATGGTAAAATTTGACATTTAAGGGTTGAAAATCCTGTAAGATGATATCTGTTGGTTTTGACGTAGATAGACAGCAGGTAGAGCTCATCATTATGAACATTTTTAGACATCGGACACATTTATTAAACTAAATATTCTAATAATGATTGGGGCCAAGTTTAGTTAAATTTGGCTCAGTAGATTTAGAGGAGAAGATTTTTCTAAGATATAAGGCAAAAATGCAAAAAAATGGTAATCATCATTATAGGGCAATAACTCTAATAAGGAGTCATCATTAAAAATGAAAAAAAAGTCAACATTTAAATATGGAACAAAGGAGACACTAGGAATGACCGTTTTGTTGACTAGTCCGGTCCATAAAAATCATTCTTATACAGGTAACACGATGCTTTACATATAGTATTAACATATAATATGAAATCAAACAGACCTAGAAAAATCAGATTGCACTTGGTCGCTATCTATTTCTATTTCATTTTATGTTTATATCGGATTAAACGACCGTCGGCAGTCTTCGGTGGTCCTCTCGATGGATAATTAGAAGGCATCTGGTCTATAATACGCATGAAATGCTGATAAATTATAGCGAGTCCATGTATTGCTAATTTTTTTTTTTTGTCTTATGCAATTTGTATATATCTTTTCACGGGTGTCATTCGGTATATCGAGAATAATAATCGCGAAAGAATAACTTACACTGAAATAGAATTGCGATCGGATCGTAAAAGATCTGGAATCGGATTGTAAATGCAATTAAGTGTAATTCTACTTCAAAATCTGTTATAAAAAACTGCTTTATTTTCAAAAGGCGGAACATATCAGAAAAAAGAATTATGTCTGTCAAAATGATTCAACTTCATTAATAATACTGTGTACTACGTTGAAGAAAAATGAAGTACTTTTCAAGAAAACATATCATAATATATTTAAAATTTAGTGTGTCAGATAGGCCAGCAAAATAAAAGAATTTTATTATTTGAAAAAAGAATAGGAAACGCCTTATATAGATCGTGAAAGACAAGGTGTGATCAGAAAACAACATTTTTTACCAATTGTCAGACCTTGGAAATATCTTAATGTGTACGTTTTTTTTCTTCGTAAGAGTTAGATCAAAGCAGCTATATCATTTAGCTTTACATAGAGGTATATTGAAGATGTACTTTCCATTAATAATACAAACTTTTCTGATTGGGTCCCATTAATAGTCCTGAACCTGAGATTACAGACACCACATATACAGCTCCCTTATCATCATTGTTAGACATATACACTGAATTTGACTACATCGGTCATCTCAATACCACAGTATATGACAAATGAGATGTTTTCAATTTTGAAATTATAAATGTTCCTCACCTTGGCAGCAATTTACCAACTTCATCCGCGTATAGAATATACATTTCTGAACTCATACGATATACAGGAGCTTGCAGCTGCTACTTACTTAGAATTTGATTAACGTCATCAGTGTGTGAGAAAAAAATTAACGAGCCAGGATTTTTTTAAAAGAATGTCTATTCTAAAAGAGAGGCGGAAGACACCAGAGGGACATTCAAAAGTCGAAAATAAACTGACAACGCCATGGCTAAAAAAGAAAAAGAAAAATAGAAAAAAAATAGTACACAAAACACAACATAGAAAACTAAAGACACGAATCCCCCCAAAACAGGGGGTGATCTTAGAGTGGCAGATCTTGCTCCACATGTGGCACCCGTCGTGTTGCTCGTGTTAATACAAACCCGGTAATAAGTCTAATTCGGTAGGTCACTTTTGGGAAATGGGGAGGGATTGTAGTTACGACATTAGAAACATATCCGCTATCATCTGTGAAACGGGTATTCTTTAACCAGGATAATGGTCAACAAACTTACGAAAGGATGATTTCAACTTCACCACTTAAAACTCTTGGTTTAATAGCTTCCTTGTGAGCAGCAACCTTCTATCAAGGAAATCATGATAGGAAATACAAGCCTTGGAATATCGTATCAACTGGGAGATATATACCCCGTATGCAGGCGCTGCTGGAATGTTGCTACATAGAAATGGAAAGTTCACAATTGGGAAGCTGAAATCATCTCTATTGTCGTAAAGTTTTGTTTTCAACCAACCCTCATTGTCAATTTCTAGATGTAAGTCAAGATATGTTGCAGACTTAACTGTATCTGATGAGAGAACATCATCTATATGGCGGAAAGTAAAGTTAAAGGATAATGCTAACTTTTTTTCTTTCTTCCTAAGAAGTTCCTGTATGGAGTCAGCCTCACATGAATAAAAGGACAAGTCGGAAAGAATAGGAGCACAGTTTGTTCCCATGGGAATGGTGATTGTTTGTTGAAAAACACGTCTTCCAAACGTAACAAATATGTTGTCAATCAAGAAATGAAGCATCTTGATATTGTCAGTTTCAGAGAATTTTTTGTTTGAAACAGAGTGATTTTTTACAAAGTAGGATTTATGTATATTTGTATATGTATATGTTATATATATTTCTAAGTTCATTTAAAAGTACCAAGTCCTAATAGATACATATTCAATGTCTACTTCACAATTATTACAGGATGGTCTTGGTTTATAGGTGTTGACTCAGTGTGGAAAATGTATCTACTTATTTACTTTACAGTTTTCCCTTATTTGTATTTGTATTATTATGTTCCATTTGGTTGTACGACTCTTGACGTGTTTCGATATATGGCATCCAATTTCAGATGTTTTGCCTTTGGCATTCCCTATGCGGGTGTGTCCAGAGATGTGATTCGGACACATGAGGTATTTATAGTGGTGTTTTCATTTTGTTTACCCTTGTAAATATATTTTGTATGTTATCGGGAAAGTGTATATGTCATTATGCTTTACTACACTGGCTGTAATATCAACTACCAAGCATTTTGTTGGCGTCTTTGTTTGATTTAATTGTATGTGTTTGAACGTTTAATTTAGTTATGTTGTATTTCTTTGTGTATGCTTACACAGTTTTGGCTGCTTGATTCAAGTTATGGTCACGTTAACCAATCTAGTCTGTGATGTATGTTAACAAAGTTTTGGCTACTGGATCCCAGTTATGGCCACGTTAACTAATTATGTCTGTGTCTGTTTGGGTTGATCAACCAATTTGCCAATATTTCGGATCATAAAACAACTGTCATACAAGTAGGAGCTTTAGCTATTAGTTAGTTACCATGTTTAACCCACCAGTTTCTTAGGAAAATGTCTGTGCAACGTTAGGAATATGACAGTTGTTTTGTTGCGTTTTTTTTTAACAATGTTTTTGTTTTTCCAATTTTTACAAAAATCAACAAGGATCTTTGTTTTATAAATATGACTGTGCATAAAAGTTAATGGAAATCAGATGAGACCATTTTAACCTTTCATACGACATAAAACTTATGCAGGACGGACAGACGGACTTATATTGTATTGTTATAGGGCAACTAGTTTGTGTGGTATTGTCAAATAATCACATCCACAGGCATTGAACCATCATAGGACAATTCACAAACAAAGCTGAAGCGGAATAAGTCATGAAAATGAAATCTTTTGATATACCAATTACAAGTATAAATGATCATATGTTTAAAGAATGAATTGATCGTTTTAGTGAATTTTTGCAATAACAAAAAGCGGCAACAGATCTTTCACGATCCTTTTCACGATCATCAAATAGCGTTACCCGATCTTTCATGATCCGAAATAGCAAAATTTTTACAAATATTCCAATTTTTGCAAAGTTTCTGATTAAACTAAAACAAAATAACTTTAAGAACCATTTTAAACAGTAATATGGAGCGACATTTTTACATTTTAAGAGAAAAGTAGTGTATGCATTCAAAATATGAAAAAAAATCATGTTTGTTTACATTTTTTAATTTCTGTGAAATTTCGATAAGCAATTTGACTTTTTTAGCTTTGTAAAAACGGTTGTACTTTTAAACTGTTTTTGAAATTTTCTCGGATACTGAAAATAATGCTGAATCAATTTAACAGACAGTTTTAATTGTTCCAATATTTATTGTATAAATCATTAAATTAGATTATTTACTGACGTTGTCTCATAAGATTTCCTTCACGATCATATACCAGATCTTTCACGATCTAATCGCAATACTTGACCACCGTTACTTATTCTTTCACAATACACCAAATAACAGCCTTGGTTTTTAGTATATTATATATAAAATATCATAACTTGGGTTAAATTGGCGAAAAAGAATTTGACAGCTAATGCCCCTTAAATTATTTTTTTGCATTGTAGTCTTTTGTTCATAATAAATATTCAAAGGAGGAAAATAAGACTAAATAAGTAGTAGTGTGTAAAAATTGCAAACAACTAAATGACATTATTTTGATAACGCGACTTTTTAATAATGCCAAAGAAAACATGTCCATAAAAAATACAGGCAAAACAGATAATAAGGTACCTCATTTTAACCTGAAACTGTCAAAATCCTGTTTGTGTGTGTGTTATTTAGATAGTAGACTACTCACTTCACCAATCTTTTAAATGTTTCCAGTGTGATATCTTCGATCCGTATATCGCCTTCACTTTGTGGAAAGCTACCATAGAACATGGCCTTAAAAACAGGACTTCTCAAAGCAAGGATCATTTTATGAGCCGGTATGCGTACTATATTTTCACCTTGAAATGAGAAGAACACATCCGCCATTTCCTCTGTCAGACATATCTGGTCCAATTTTCCTGTTATGGTGTCCATACTTCCTTCTTTTTTATGACATTCTTTAAAAGCATCCTACGGAAGAAAAAAAAATATAATAACTCAAATATGACACTACAAGTTGTTTTTTGGTTGTTGTCTCATTGTCTCATTGACTCATAACAAACGACACTGTTAACTCAGTTCTTTAACTAAAACGACACTTTTAACTCAGTTCTACAGTTGTATATCAATACTTGAGTATTTACGAAAGGTAAATTACCACAGATAGAAAACTACACTTAATAAACAGCTGCGCCATGAGCGCATGATACGCCCGTCGTCTTGTGTGTGAATTTTTATGCAATAAGCATAAATAGTTTCTGACATACGGCATGACATGTGAAAACCCCCCCTTTTTTTTTACAAAAAACTCAATATCTCAAAAATAAAATTTTGAATAATCACCAAAAAGTATACAGATCTTAAGGTTAATATAACTAAGAAGTGTGTAAAGTTTAAAGCAATAATCATAAATCGTTTTTGAGATACGGCGCGACATGTGAAAAACCCCTCCCCCTTTTTTAACAAAATACTCAATATCTCTAAAATAAAATTTTGAATCATCACCAAAAAGTATACAGATCTTAAGATTAATATAACTAAGAAGTGTGTAAAGTTTTAAGCAATAATCATAAATTGTTTTTGAGATACGGTGCGACATGTGAAAAAAAAACACACACCTGTTTTAGTTACTAAGTCCCGTAACTCAAAAAGTTTTAATCTTATTTTCACCAAAAAGTGTACAGATCGTTTGACCATCATAAGAAACAACTATCTTAAGTTTCATGAAATTTGGATAAGTCATTCTCAAGTTACGGTGCGACATGTTTACGCCGGACAGACAGACGGACAGACAGACAGACGGACAGACAGACGGACGGACAGACAGACGGAAGGACGCCGGACATTTGTATATCATAATACGTCCTGTCAAAAATTTGACGGGTGTATAAAAATTAGTCCAGATTTAAAACATTTCTAATCATCTTTCTACAAGGCTAAATAAGAGGTAGGTCAAAGAGTAGACTTGGTAACTGCAATGCAACTTCTATAAAAAAAATACAAATAAGGTTGGTACCTATTAAAACGTTTAAACTCGCTGCATTTGTTTGCACCTGTCCTAAGTCAGGAACCTGATGTTCAGTGGTAACCGTTGTCGTTTGTTGATGTGCTTCATAAGTTTTTCTCGTTTCTCGTTTTTTATATAGATTAGACCGTTGGTTTTCCTGTTTGAATGGTTTTACACTAGTCATTTTTGGGGCCCTTTATAGCTTGATGTTCGGTGTGAGCCAAGGCTCCGTGTTGAAGACCGTACTTTGACCTATAATGGTTTACTTTTACAAATTGTGACTTGGATGGAGAGTTGTCTCATTGGCACTCATACCACATCCTCCTATCTCTAAATATCTTCAAACAAACACTCATCTAGATATTCAACACTAAATCAATTCAATATAATGTAAAGAATGTATTGTAACTATGAAGAACGTGAAGTTGCTGTGAGCATCCCGATAATACTATGCAAGTATCTGAAGTATATATGACTATAGAACCGTACCCGTAATAGCGTCAAATAAATATTCGTGCAGTACTAGCACAACAATTATAATCAAATGCTAATCGAACCAGTTCTACAAACTAGTTCCTATGACATTTATGTCACACCGGCAAGATATGGCAATCATCAATTCAGTCGTTCTCGACGTCAGCAATTAGGATATATTATGTTTGCTGCAAAGAATATAACAAGAGGCTGTCAGAGAGACAGCAAACCGGATTTTCCTACAGAGGTCGAACCCTGAACAGTTGAGCAAGTATGGACACAACATTTAAGCTTAAAACAGCTCTGCATTTGGATTGTGATTGAATATTTGATACAGCATAGGTTTGTGACAAAAATAAATGTGGTCAAAGAGCTGAAAAAAATTGAAATTGGACATTTACCTATTATGGTCAAATATCCAAAATCTAAGTACGTTGCTAGAATCAGCATATCAAAGAACCCCAAAAATTCAACTTTTGATGAAATACTGCTTTAATAGTTAAACTATTTCTGTTCAGAGGGAAATAACTCAAACTTTATGTCCATGAACCAATAATGTAAATCTAAAATTAAACATGATATAACCATAATTCTCTAAAATTAGATATGATGTAATTAGATATGATGTTATATTTATTTTCAAATTTTATTCAAATATTATAATTGGGTGATTGATAATTACCAGATGGTGTGTTGTCTTGATAAAAGGTGAACATTATTTAAAACCACTTAGTGTAATCACACTTTATATATATAGTTAATAGTTCCCAATATTTTTTCTTTCATTTGCAACAAACTAATATAGATCTGCAACTTAGCTATCATTTATCTGCACAATGTAATGTAATGAAATATATCCTTTAATAAAAAAGATTATTATCTAATGAATTTGCAAATCTTGAACCCCTAACAGGATCAAGAAAAAATCAAAATTAACACACACAACAAAAATTTAATGTAATGAAATATCTCCTTTAATAAAAATATATATTATCTAATTAAAGGAGTTCACTTCATAATTTATATATATATATATATATATATATATAGCATTCAGAAAATAAGTTAACAAACCTACCACAAAATTCTTCAAACAATTTACCAAAGAAAAGAAAAAAAATCCAAAATATCATTTATCATTTATACAATGTCTTTCAAAAATCTTTTAAAACATGAGTTGTACAGAAATGGATTAATTCATCAAAAATTGAAATCTTGTGAAAGGGCTATAACTGAACAACGAGAAAAGCTAAAATCGTGAAAATTGAACTTGACCTTCATTTAGTCACAGGAAACAACATATCTAAATTTGAAAAAATTTCTTCAAAGCGTTTTCATGTAAATGAACGTACACTGTTTGGCAGCCGCCTGCCCGCCCCCCCCCCTCCCGCCGTATATCAACAAATCAATAACCGATTTTTACTTCGAAAATCAGGTTAAAAACTGGAGTTTCTGGATCCGGGCCCGTTATAGACTGATTAATAATCGGTCGGTTTTTGGTTTATCAATTTTTATTTAAATACCACAAATAGATATCCAATAGATAATTATTTATGTTTAACCTAATAGTATACCATTATATATTCAATTGTTGTTTTTAGTTTATAACTTCCTGTCTGTGAGCAACTACCTCGGGTAAAGTTTAACATACAGTTGTTAATGGCTCGACTGTTTAGGATTTATTGGTATTCAATTTTTTTTCGAAAAAAGTCATTATATGGGCTATGTCACAAATTTGAGTAAAACGTTGTACTTAACTTTGGCACAGCGACATTTATGTCAAAGATGTTCAGTAGTTGTCGTTTGTTGATGTGGTTCATAAGTGTTTCTCGTTTCTCGTTTTTTATATAAATTAGACCGTTGGTATTCCCGTTTGAATGGTTTTACACATGTAATTTTTGGGACCCTTTATAGCTTGCTGTTCGGTGTGAGCCAATGCTCCGTGTTGAAGACCGTTCTTTGACCTATAATAGTTTACTTTTACAAATTGTGACTTGGATGAGAGAGTTGTCTAATTGGCACTCATACCACTTCTTCTTATATCTATAAGACATAGCGATCCCAAATTCAGTCGTCCTCGGCGTCAGCCATTATGTCCAGTCTGTGGTTAAACATCAATAACTTTTTCAAATCTTAATGGAATTGTATGAAACTTGGACAGAATAAAATTGAGAATGGAAACGGGGAGTGTGTCAAACAGATAACAACCCGAACAAAGAGCAGAAAACAACACAAGGCCACCAATGGGTCTTCAACACAGCGAGAAAATTCTGCACCCTGAGACGGGCTACAGTTGGCCCCTAAACAAAAATGTTTACTAGTTCAGATAAAATGGACATCGCACTAAACTTCGAAAAATATAGATGAACCAAAATTCAAAAAATATCATACACTTGACTAACAAAGGCCACAGGTTCTTGATTTGGGACAGGCGCAAAAATGCGGCTGGGCGAAAGATGTTTTTTGAGATCTCGACCCTCCCCTATACCTCTAGGCAATGTAGAAGCTCTTTTATGATCCAAAGACAATATCAAATGAAAAATTCTGCTAAAATGTTTTTATATTTATCGGTATTTTACTGATAAGGAAACTATTTTTAGCAGTTACCATTTAGATACAGTCTGGGTTTTATTTCGTAAAATTGTCATATCAATAACTTAATCAAAACTTAATAAAGTTTATTAAACTTTTCCAAAAGCTTTTTTTTAATGAGAAAGATATAATACTTGATGCAAAATAATAAAACATGTTGTTTTTCGTTTTTTCATATTTTACTGATAAACGGATTTTTTTAGTTAAAATGTACAGTTTTTGATTAAATTCTTAGACATCTATTCCCTTTAACCAAGTTCAGATATTTTATTGCACTAGTAGTTGGTAAAAATGCCCCTTAAGAGATGCGGATCCAAGATTTTGAAAAGTGGGAGGACGGGGCCCAACCTTGACAACGTTTGGAGTGGTACATGTAAAAAGTCATTGTATTAACAATAATTTATATGTAGACTTATTATAAGAGGGACCGGTTGTTCTTTCAGCTTACACAGTAATTTTACAAACATGTAAACGTTATGGCAGGAACATATATATTGACCGAAAGTTGAATTGCTCAAACAAGCAAATTATTAGACATCAATGTTTTAGTCAAACCTTCATGGAATGTTATGGAACTTGGACAGAAATTTCTTGAGGATAAAGAAAATATTTTCCCCTATTTTACTGATAAGTGGGCTTAATTTTTGGCGTTCAACATTGTCAGTGGAACCCGGTGTACATTTTCAACTGTTATACTTGCTAGAAAAATAATAAATAAAAATCACATGTAAAGTATACTGTACGTACAATCTATCAAAAACTTTGTCAAAATTATCTTTGAAAAAAATCCTTTCTTTTCGCCCAATGTATAGAATGTTCGTAAAATTTCGTTAAATCTCCGTTTTAAAGATAAAAATATTGATATGGTCATTGACTTCTTTTGTGCTGTTTAAATCAGCCAAATTGGTAATTCAGGTGAAAAAAAAATACCACAAAAACATTTCTTGTAAACATGTGAACTTAAATTATATATGATGCTTTGGTTCAATTCATACTAATATTTTGTTTACACTAATGTCTCTTCATTCTGTATGCATGCAATTAAGGATGTACATAAATCCAAAAAGGACAACAGAAAGAATCTTCCGAAATAATGTTGCTTTCCGCAACATTCCCAAAACTACGTCAAACTAAGAAATGACGACTGTAGAATGGTGTTTACCGCCCAGTTACAAATATAACATTCGTATCAGGAATAGAACATACAAATGCAATTAAATTAAGAATGGTTTTGTTCAACATCGACACGCTGAGCCGTATTTTAACGTACACGGTTCACAGGGAGACGTGTCGTCATATACCACATTATCGAAACTACAGTTTTGCCTTTGCACTTTTTTGAAAATGCCACGTGCTTCGGTTGCGTCATTCGTATCTTTATGGTGATTAACAACTAGAGACTCTATAGAGCCTGTGTCGGTCACCTAGGTCTATGTTCTTATCAACAATGGACTCTCTCCAACATTATAGACAAGAACAGAAATCATGGCAAAAATTTCTTTTTTGTTGATCTTGTTTTGATGATCGTTTTGTCTGTTTAGTTTTTTTTTATCTTCTTTAGTATTTTTTTCTCAAAAAACAAAAGAGGGCTAAAAAAAGTCCTCATTTAAGAGCAATTACTTCTATGAAGAGTGACATTCTACTTACTATATCGGCAACATTTGACTTGTTTGTGGATCTTGGCTTTTGCCTTGCTGACCATTTCTGTTATTTTAAAGTTTCTATTTATCTATTATACTTTTTATCATATAAGACAAAACGCAAAAAAAATGGAAAAAATAAATGGCAAAATCGTCATTAAAGTTCAATAACTCCAATAAGGTGTCGTCGAAAAATTGAAACGCTGAGATGGAAAGCGAAGTCATAAGACACATTTTTTTTTAAAATTTTGACACCCCAATGATGATTGTGGCCAAGTTTGGTAAAATTTGGTCTAGTAGTTTTAGAGGAGAAGATTTTTTTTGTACAAGTTAACGGACGACGACGACTGACGACGGACGCAAAGTGATTAAAAAAAAACTAAAAAAGGTGAGCTAAAAACTATCCGAGCATTCAATTAAAGTAAAACAATCACCAAAATAAAAATCATTCAGTCAGATAAAGCATCTTTTCGTTGTTTTCTATTCTTTTCGTCAAACGTTGAAAGAATACTAGGGTATTCATTATTTACTATGTTATTTCTATAACAGTTTTGATTACGTGTAACTTAGGATAATTTGATAAAATTATTTTGATATACCAACAACAAATTAGAACCTTTATAGTCACTGTTAATTGGTCATGCTCTCCAGACCCACCCACCCCTCCCCATATACTACAAATAAAGATACCGAAACTGGAGCACGACTTTGCTGTGGTGTCTGACGCTGGCTTAATTTTCTGAATGACATAACAGTGAATTCTACAAAATAATAAGCAAGAAATTCAATGCTAATATTAAACGTTATATCTTTAATTTCATTCTATCATTCACGCCTAGAAAATGTTAGAGCTTGAATGAGCTCGTTGGTGTATTTATTGTTTACTCTTATTGATGAAAACTGCAGAAATTGCACCAATATCGATGATAATCATGTACTTTTTGGCAAAAAATAAATGCAATTCAAAATAATAAGCAATTATGTACCTTTTATTTAGAGTCAGCACAATCATATCTGTATCATAAATAAGCGATACTGCGTAGATAAGGATAAAATGATAAAAGTCTAATGATTTGCGCAACGGTACTAACATAAGATGGTAATATACGAAGATGATGTTATGAAATAGTGCTTCTAGTTGTTTATGTAAAAAAGTACAGTCATACAGGTACATTTTGACTATTGGTTGTAAAAAAGTACAGTCATACAGGTACATTTTTGACTATTGGTTTACTCCAAAATCTTGAATCTCATCAAACAAAACATCTAGGCGTTTATATCTATTATATATATATCCGCCTTGAAAAGTGAACAAAACAGCACCATTATTAAACTAGAGGCAACCAAGAAGCCTGTGTCGCTCACCTGATATTTTTTCTTTACCATTGACGCATGAAATAATGCAACCGTTATACTTTTGCTTTAGTTTCAGAGATATAAGCCAAAAACTGCATTATACCCCTATGTTCTATTTCTAGCCATGTCTGCCATGTTGGTTGGCAGGCAGGGTCATCAGACACATAATCAGATACCCTAATGATGATTGTGGGCAAGTTTGGTTAAATTTGTCTCAGTTGTTTCAGAGGAGAAGATTTTTGTGAAAGATTACAAAAATTTACGAAAATTTAAACAAATTGACTTTAAAGGGCAATAACTCCTTATGGGATCAATTGACCATTTTGGTCATGTAGACTTATTTGTAGATCTTACTTTGCTGAACATTATTGCTGTTTACAGTTTATCTCTATCTATAATAATATTCAAGGTAATAACCAAAAACTGCAAAATTTCCTTAAAATCACCAATTCAGGAGCAGCAACCTAACAAATGGTTGTCGAACTTGTCTGAATATTTCAGGGCAGATAGATCTTGGCCTGATAAATAATTCTAAACCTGTCAAATTTTCTCTAAATGCTTTGGTTTCAGAGATATAAGGCAAAATCTACATTTTACCCCTTATGTTCTATTTTTAGCCATGGCGGCCATCTTGGTTGGTTGGCCGGGTCATCGAACATATTTTAAAACTAAATACCCCAATGATGATTGTGGCCAAGTTTGGTTAAATTTGGCCCAGTAGTTTCAGAGGAGAAGATTTTTGTAAAAGTTAACGACGGACGACGACGGACGACGGACGACGACGAACGACGGACAACGGACGCCAAGTAATGAGAAAAGGTCACTTGGCCCTTTGGGCCGGATGACCTAAAAAAGAAACAGCAAATCCACCATCAATAAATATATCAGATAACAGATACCCTTCATCCGTATGATGTACATGAAAAAACATCTATTCAGACGTGAGCTATTGCGTCCTGAAAACAACATTAACAAGTAACAGTCAGGGTAACGAAAGAAGCCTTAACTGGTATCACGTGTAATAAGCCGATTAATTACAATCTGAACTGTCCGTTCTAGACAATTCTTTGTATACTTTTACAAAGATTACTATAATTTGGAAAGAATTTTGTTTGTTTCATTTTTTGACAGGTACTTACTTTTCAAAAGCCTGAAGGAGCAAATTAATATGTCATTAACTTCGACCATTACGGTTGCTTCCATATACCTAGCATTACAGGTGAATTAAATACAAAACTATAAACTAAACAGACTGTCCACGACACAATGGCCATCTATCAAAAGTATATTAATAAAACTTCCCTAAGGTCAAACTAAAACAGTTAGTACATACAAAGTCATGCTGGAGAATTAAAGTAGTGATATATTCCGCGATTACCAATATTTATTATGATGAAAATTACTGTCATTTGTTATTAAAAATATATTTAATGCTATGAAGTTCTTTTAAACACTGCTTGATCCGAAAAACTACAGACGGTTCAGATGGTAATTTCGGAAAGTTATTAACGTCCGTTTTGAATCAATGTTTAACAGACTGGTCTGAAACGTATGTAACGGATATCTCAAAGAATTGTTGAAACATAATAGATATGTAACTTGTTACAGCAGAAAATTTCATGACCGGGTATCCGTCCAAGGGGGTTTTCTTGATTTACTTAGAGGCACTTAAAGCGAAATAGTTGAAAGCCAAGGATGTTTTTTGGAACCGTAGTCTCGAAATAATTTATGAATTTATGAACGATCAATTCCACTCTACATTCACATTTTGAGACGTATAGAAACAGCGTACTGTGTTATGGCTGTGATATATCGGTACTAAGACACTAGCTAAGCAGAGGATACATATTGGCTATTGTCAAAACATTATGAAAGCAAAAAGCTCCACAAGGAATGTCATGGTGTATTATGAAAGCAAAAAGCTCCACAAGGAATGTCATGGTGTATTATGAACTAGGCAGATTGTCATTATTACACACCAGAAAATGTAGAATTGTTTAAAAATGCTAATATAAACTGAATTATACCTTACAATTTTTTTCTAAAAGAACCTGTTGTTTTTTCTATATGATGATTTACTAAAATATCCAAGTTGTAAGACTAATTGGTTGTAATTTATTAAAAAGGAACTGCTTCCCATAGGTTTATGTGATTTTGGTAAATTCAGAGTTATTGTAAAGACAGTTATCTCTCGGGTGCGTTTTACTTAATAATTAAACAGTACGTGTAGGAGTAAGATTTTGACAGCCAAATGAGTGCTTGAATTAAATGTTCAACATGACAGGTGCAACATATGGAACAGGATCTGCTTACAATTAAGGACACCGGCAATAACCCTTTGCTGGGATTCGTGTTACTCAGTCGTTAGTTTCCTCTGTTGTGTTTTGCACACTGTTATTTGTCTAATCAAATGATCTTTTTGTTTCTTGCCATGGCATTGTCAGATTTTTACGACTAATGAGTTTGAATATTCCTTTGGTATCTTTCGCCTGTCTTTTTATAGAAACATGGTTCAAATTTTTTATTTACAATATTAATTATGTATTACTCATGTATATACTGATAATACTATTTATTCATCAGACATGTATTACTAAAAGAAGACTTAGTAGCCAAATATAGCTATCGAAGTTTGAAGTTTCTTGCAAATTTATGAGGAAATAGGCTCTTGTTCTTGTAACGATGACATTGAGAATAAGATACGTTTCATTCATAAATGACCAATGCATCAAGTTATTAGAACTTATTTTCATTCTATCTTATAATGGAACAAAACATTCTATGCAATTAGAGCGTTCAAATGATCATGATGATACAAAAGAGCTATTTAATTTGGGTAAAATATTCGTACACAGAAATAAAGATTTCACATGTTATAATATCTTGTTCTATATATTTATGTTAATGTGTATGTTATGTTCTTTACCTATTGTTGTTATGACTTTGGTAAATACAGAATTTATAATGCCTTCTTTCACTTTAAGGGACCCACAACCTAAAGAAAGTACTTAACTGCCAAACTGTTTTAAAGATATATGCTGACCCCTAAAGTAAAGTATTGATTTAATGCCTTCTTTTACTTCAAGGGACCCACAACCAATATAGACTATTAGTAATATACTGTCTAATTAAGACATACTTATTACTGTTTTGAATGGTTGGTAATTTTTGTGTACAAATCAAAATCAAATCAAATCAAATAATTTTATTGGTGTAAATTCCAATACAGGAATGATACCAGCTGACATTTACAAAATACAAATACAAAAACAGACAAAAATAAACAAAAAACAAATAAACAGAGATATGTTTTCTCAATGATAAGAGACACATATTTTATATCTACATTGCGTGGAGGTGTTATTCATACTTTATTATCACTTCAGGCTATTACAATAAGCTTTAATACTACAACAGTTCTTAACAACATTATGTTTGTACATGTCAAGTCCTAAGTGCATTATATTAAATAATCATTTTTCAAAATATCCATTAGAATATTAATCTTATTTCAGATTCGTACAACAGCTGTTCTTGAAAACATTATAAATACACCGGAAAATGTTGTTTTCATTGTACTGCAAATAATCATCAATACTCATTGATATTTTACTTATTCATGTCACAGGCGCTTGGGTACAGAAATTTTAATTTTTTTTGTTGTTGATTAAAATATTCAATTTTCTATATTTATACTACATATCTATCACTACTGCGCATATCTCATATAGTTTCGAGTGATTTTACCAACTTTGAGACAAACCCCCATTTTACTATCCACACTAAGAAACAAAAAGGCAACTAAATCGACGCCATCTTGCGTGCTATAAATAAATAATAAAATTGACCTACCTGGATTCCCCATCGATTTTATGGAAAACATGCCTTTCTCGCAGTCCGATCGCAGACGTCGTTTCTATTCATCAAATTGCTACTGTTCGTAACATTTTTAGTCCATCTCAAGCATATAATAAAAAGATTTTCACTATTTTCACTAAATTCAAATTTACGTGCCCGGAAGTTTACTGTTAATATTCAGGGGAAGTTACTTTTTCCCGAACTTTTGTTAAAGGGAAGTAATATTTTCCCGGACTTTTTCGGAACATCTCTGCAAGTACACATAAAACAAAGAAAGGGATACGATGATTACCGAACTAATACTGAATGTAAACAAACAGATATGATGGACGAAGAACAAGATCAAGCCTTTAATTTGATTGTAAGTGCACCCCTCCCCCAAAAATAGAATAAAAAAAATATCAGATCAAATGGTCCACGGATTATTTTTTTAATTCTTTTCATAAGACAATTTTGTGTGAGCATTTGTATATTCATAAATTACCATGAAACTATGTTTTCCTTCGTAATTTCTTCCTTTGTTTGACTTGCCATTATTTCTAAAACAGATCTTTTCTTTTTTCAGCAACGAAAAAGTTGCGCCTTTTTTATAATAATTCGGAAATCATCGTATCCCTTTCTTTGTTTTATGTGTACTTGCAGAGATGTTCCGAAAAAGTCCGGGAAAATATTACTTCCCTTTAACAAAAGTTCGGGAAAAAGTAACTTCCCCTGAATATTAACAGTAAACTTCCGGGCACGTAAATTTGAATTTAGTGAAAATAGTGAAAATCTTTTTATTATATGCTTGAGATGAACTAAAAATGTTACGAACAGTAGCAATTTGATGAATAGAAACGACGTCTGCGATCGGACTGCGAGAAAGGCATGTTTTCCATAAAAATCGATGGGGAATCCAGGTAGGTCAATTTTATTATTTATTTATAGCACGCAAGATGGCGTCGAGTTAGTTGCCTTTTTGTTTCTTAGTGTGGATAGTAAAATGGGGGTTTGTCTCAAAGTTGGTAAAATCACTCGAAACTAGGTGAGACATGCGCAGTAGTGATAGATATGTAGTATAAATATAGAAAATTGAATATTTTAATCAACAACAAAAAAAAATTAAAATTTCTGTATCATATACCCAAGCGCCTGTGATTCATGTCATCACGTTATAAATCAAAAGAAACAGATTTTGACAAAATCATAATATTATACAGGACCTTGGATTTGGTCGACCGTGAATCATTGCAAATTCACTCAGTTTATAAAAAAAGATCTTAAAATATATAAAAATATGTTTAAATCTATTTAGATTGAAGTTATTTAGAGAACTTCCTGCTTATGAAAATCGATGTCATCGTCATAAGTGTCTGTGTATATGACTTTCTGAAAATGTTTAATGGGTCATACATTGAACTCGTAAACTTAATAATATAATGCATACTAAAAAGTATCAGAGTGTTTACAAATATAAAGTTTCGGTGACAGATATAAAATATTTTTTTTACTATTGACTATTAACTTTACTCACAATGTTGTTGTTTTTTGTTTCCAAATGAAAGTCCAAAAATAGAAGTTGATGTCGTATATAGATGGTAGATCACGTGATGTGTGAAATGGTAGATTGGTCAATATTATAATGACGTCATATGATGGTACTCTAAAAAAATAATAATATAATATTTCTTTGATTTTCATAAAGATTTACGATAATCGATTTTAGAAAACTTTTAAAAGAAGTAACAATAAAATACACGTGTAATTAATGTTTTCAAGGAAAATAATATGGTATTGACCAGCAATAGATATATAAATATTTTTTCTGTTATGATAAGACGTAAACCTACAATGCAGAGTGCAAAATACATAAATTTCAGAACGGTTGTTATGTAAATAATATTATTGTAAACATGGTAAAAAGACATCAAGTGGGTCATTAAAGGGTTTATTCACGTTGCTCCAACACTTTATAATTAGACTAAAACAACACTAAGAATTAGGGGGTCCTTTTAAGGACTTGCATCTTGATATTTACCTGCAATTCACCTGTATCAGTGCTAAACTAAAATATTGTAAAAAGGGGTAATTTATAATGTTTAAAGATCACACATATAAAAACATGACCAAACCATATTTATCTTTTTTACAGAAAAATGGTTTTTCATATAGTTTTGGTTGAATATAACCAGAAAATGATACGAAATTACTTGCATCCGTGTTTTAATTACTAGTTAAAACGTTATGCAACGAAATAAATCCATAAATAAATAAGGAAAATTCAAACCTTTAACTGTGAAAATTTCATAAAAATAAATCAATAATCTCAAAACGATTTTTTGAAATTTTTTTTTTTTTTATCGAAAATAACATAAAAAATCGAAATGTTCACTGACTATACCGAATTTTAGTAATTTATTCTATTTCTTGATATTCATTTTGCATTTGTGTTATGTAGATATCCAAATCTGAAACGATGCGCAACAAAGAAGGTTTATGTACGTATATAGCCACGGAAAGCTGTTGCCTTCTACTGCGAAGAACCATATATCATCTACCTGGTCATTCTGGCTTTGTATCATAAGAGCCGAAGTCAATGTTCTTGGCATGCTGTGTTAAGCAGATGAAAGAGTCAGTCGTATATCTGATAGTTTTTTCCACGAAAAAGGTAGAATACAAATTGGGTAAATTACGACGTGAAATGTAGAGTGTTTAACTGTGGGAACTGGCTTATTGAATTGTGAGCTACAATCATTTTTGACATGAAACGCAAGCTTTGGACAATTATTGCAAGCCGAATAAGAAATTTAAATATAATACATCTTTGATAATAAGCAGTTTTTAAATCTCTCGACACATACAATGTTTATCTTTATTCAAGTTCACAACATTGTTATCAATAATACATAAGAATGGAAAATAGGGGGAAAAAATAGATGAAAACGAAGTAAATTTAAAATTTATATCGACTTTTAAAATCTTAAATTTAAACAAATTTAAAATAAACAAAACATAATTTTGTTAATATTTTACAATAATTTAATTTTGGATGAAACACGTCTTCTGATTAGCTGAAAGTGTTTTGTCTATCAGCTCATAGACATAATTTTGTCATGTGACCGTGACGTCATCAACGTTTTTATCATGATTTACTCCTTTTTAGAATTAAATTATAAGGAATGACTGTAATATTTTTTCTGTCTATTCGAAATAACCTAAAAAATGTGGTGCACACTTTTAAATAACACGCTACGCGGGTTATTCAGTGTGCACCACATTTTTGATGTTATTTCTTCATAGACAGAAAAAATATTACAGTCAGTCTTTAAATAAATCTGAAAAAAATCCCCTTTTAACATTATTTTATTTTGTTAAGAACTGAAACAGGTGAATGACTGGTAAATATCAAGATGTCAGTCCTTAAGAGGAACCCCTAATCCCTAATGATGTTTTAGTCTAGTTATCAAATGTTGGAAAAACGTGAAACATGCTAACCATCTGTGATGTCTTGTTTGACGTATAATGATGATGCCTCGGTTTTTGTTTAAATGATATATTATAAAGGTATTTTATACTCAAAAGCGTGTCCTTCCCTTCAAACGTGTCCGATCAGCACACGTGTCCAATCCTCAAATTCAAACGCGTGTGGTCGACGTCAATGAATATCTAAACATGTATAGATTGTTTTGGACACTGGAATGTGTGCTTTCGCTGACGTCCAATCATGTCCATTTCTGAAGATGCACTAACGTATCAAACTCAATTTCGCTACCATGTTCATGGTTGGAAAACATACCAAAACAAAAAAAGTTTATGGAACAGACCTGGTTTTATTTACTGCGTAAATTGCGGTTTTCAATAAATCTACCCCCCCAAAAAAAAACAAAAAAAAACAAAACAAAACAAAAAACACATCATGTAATCGATGAACATAAAATGACCTCAAGGGAACTGTATTGGTCAATGAGTTAATGATAATTTGCAAGGCACTCGCATTTGAGATTTTTTTTTATGACAGCTAAATATCAAATGTAAATTTTCTTTGTATGATAAGTGCAGTAAACAAAGTTCTGTACGACTACTTGCATTTTATATTGCAATTGAGATATAAAGGTTGATCAATTAGTGAATTCCAAAGAGTTATTTCAGATGCATCTACAGATTTAGTTTCCAATACTTCGTGTGCATAAATTGTTAACTGGATGTTCTTAATGCAAAGGAATAAAACTTGGTGAAAATCAATGTTTGTTATGTCACCTTTTTTTTCTGATATGATATATGTTAATGTGAGAGAAAAATGTCCCTCATATTATCCTGAACTGTATACAGTGCATGGTCCACGTCTTGAGCCATTTATTGTCTGTCCAAGTTACAACTCCATTCGTCCTGAAGCTACTGCTGAACATGGAAATGATCTTATCGTCCTAGGGTTTGTAAAAAGGAAATTTTATCAACTTTGATTGTTTACAGATTTGTTAATACATCGTTCCACTGGATATGTAGAGACACATTTGATGTATTCAATTAACAGACTGGTTTTCCTGAATTTTCAGGTAATAAGAAGAACAAGGATACAGAAGCAAAAATCAACTGTTGACTGTTATTAAATAGTATAATCTGTAAAAAATATACTGCAACATACACTTCAGTATCTTCTTGTATGTTGCAGTATGAACATAATAAAGGAAACTTAAGATCAGATGACTTATTATATGTAACTGGCGTCATAGAGGACAATTTGTGACGTGATATGATTGGGTTAAGTATAAATTCAGACAGGTTTGAACGAAAATAATCATCGGACATGTTTAGGGGGAATAAAATTAGACATGTATGGGCGACATGTTATTTAAATGATAGGTTTGGGGGATGGACATATTTCAGCGAGGTTGACACGTCTGATCACTAAAATACACATTGATCTAATTACAACAGAATAATAATGATGAACTATAACAGTCTTTAGTTTTCTATAATGTGTTTTGTGTACTATTGTTTGTCTGTTGGTCTATTTCTTTTTTAGCTATGGCGTTGTCAGCTTGTTTTCGACTTGTCAGTTTGAATGTCCCTTTAGTATATTTCGCCTCTCTTTTATACAAGTCCATGAAGCCTAAATGTAGGACATAAAAGTCAAATCATCAATGTGCTTCCTAAAAAATAAAAATCGTATTACTACGAGTGTCTCGTAAAAGAAGTAGGAATGAATGATAACTCAGGTAATCCCACATACAAAAACATATCATTTGACAAGGATGAGATTTTGGCGAATCATAAGTCCTACATGGCTTCATTGAACATTACATTGAACAGTGATGTTCTACAAAGGAACTGTCCATTAGTTGATCGCTGATTTTTTCTGAGGAAAATAAATCGCTCAATAAAAAGAGACTTCTACATTTAATTTAAGATATTATCATTATAGTTATCATTATAGAACACGCATGCATAAAAAATCACAGTGATGATATATTAATGCATTTCAAAGGCAATTTTCTTTAAAAGTGGTTTTATTTTCAATATTAAAGGACGTAAGAAAGCACATAGTAATCCACCATTTTCTACATAAGAAAATGTCTGTATGAAGTCAGAAATATGACAGTTGTTATCTATTCGGTAAATGTGTTTGAGTTTTTGATTTTGCCATTTGATTAGGGACTTTCCGTTTAGAATTTTCCTCAGTGTTCGGTATTTTTGTTATTTTACTGTTTATAGGAATATAGATGCGATATAATTGCCGATGAGTCAACTAAAGGCTGCCGGACGGCCTACAACTAACAAGAAAAAAAAAAAGAAAAAAGAAAGAACTCACATCTCTTAAAAAGCTACAAAAGGCTCCGACAAATTAAATGCAAAGCAATTCAAACAAGAAAAACAACGGCCTGATATATGTTCAAAACAATAGGCGAAAAACAAATATGATATACAGTAACAAACGACTGCCACTGCATTACAGACTCTGGACTCGAGACAGGCACATACAGAATATGACGGGGCTAAACATGTTTGCAGGCTCCCAATCCTCTCATCGCATTTACCTCGTCAGTGGTGTAACAGCACAACAAACTATAAAAATCAGTTGAAAAAGGACTCATAAGATCGATACAAAGCAAAATCAAGTAACATAAACAGCAAGGACACAAAGAACCGATCTTTGCAATATCAACTTGATCAATTAGAGATACAACCTATTTCAATGTGTATATAGGAGACGGACGAACGCCAAAGGTAGACGATCTATATAATACAGCTTTTGACAAATAATTAAAGGGGCACTAGCTAAGAGATATAAAAAAATTATAGAATATGATTTTTTTTTGTGCAATCATTAATGAAAGTGGAATAGTGAAATAATAATTCGCTTTTAGCAGCCAGTATTGTCTAATTTTGTCAAAATAAGCAAATAAATATTGATGATGAATTATTCACTTGCAAGTGAATAATTCGACCTCGTGAATAATTCGACCTCATTGAATCCGTATTCATGTGAACTTCAATTTAACATAATAGATAGAGTTGGATAACGCATGAATTGTGTGCATGTTTGATTATTTAAAGGAAAAGAATGTCAACATTGAAAGTAAACAAAGGTAATTCATTTAATTGACTGA